GCTAAGAAAATGTTTATCTCCCTGAGCCTGGCCTTCATAATTCCATTCCATCACAGGTATGTTCTGAACTGAGCAGAAAAGTAGGCTATAAATTCAATTAATCAATAAACATATTAATTCAAATAAGTATTTCCCAACATTCTTGATAGGTCCTAATACAGCTTGTGGCAAGACTGCAACCTTAGAGCATGTAATCTCTTATTCCTTTAAAGATTTTTTGCAGGGAAAATTTTATCAAATGATACCTATTTTTAGGATGTATCAATCAAGTATAGCTCTCCCGCTTGAAATTCCACTGTCCATATAAAATCTAGGTATGAGAGGAAAGCAGGTAATTTCAACAACTGAAATATGGAGAACATCAAAACGTGCTCCCATAACAGAACTCACATTATGAAAGCTTTGAATAATAATCAAGTTGTGCTAATGACTGGAGGAAAATAGAAGTGTTGCAGGTGTAGGGAATGTATTTAAAATTCTGTAGTGCCTATTTTCAGAATAAAATAAAGGAAATTCACAAATGAATCCAAATCTCAAGCAACTGCCCCCTTCCAAAAATCCTTAGTCTTGAAAAGAAATGCATGCCAACATTTAAATACAACTTAGAACAACCTAAGAAATCATAGGTGATGAGAGCTATCTAGCAGAACTCAGAAATATGACTAGGCCTTAATACTTAATAAAGCATGCATCACTATTTATCTTTTGGGCTGGGACACACAGTGATAGCACAGCAAAACTAGTGCACCGTCAGAGCTAAATGCAACAGGATTTGCTATTGAGATTATGTACACATCATCAGCTGAAATTTCTGGAGTGAGCAAAGTAAATATGACAAATACTTAATTGTTTCAAGAATATTGACGAAGTTAACCTTAATTTTGCTGATGTCTAACGAGGATGGTTAACGTTGTATTAAATAAAAGAAATATATCAGCTATGCCCTTAGATAACCTAAATTCAGAATTTTGGGAGTAAAACAAGTTGCTACATGGAATTAATGAATATCTTCATTCTCTAAGCCTTTCCCACATTCACTGAATGCATGAAGAAGAGAAGTTTGAATTACAACCACTGTCCCAGCTCCAGACTACCTTAATTCCAGTAGAAAGTAGCTTCATCTAAATAGATTCTACATGCAAATCTTCTGTGGCCATAAACATTCTCTGTGCAACTGCGAACTGAAAAAAGCTTGGCTCTTCAATTGCATATGCCAAACTTCTAATTTGGTGCTCTCTTGACATGTTGAATTACAAATACAATAACTTGGTTAGCAAGTCCACTACTCATGCTGGTTAATTATGGATCATATTCATAGAATAAACATTTTTGGAAGGCACCAGTTTGGGGAAGTTGCCTTCAGGAAAGGGATCAAATCCTGGCTCTGCCAGAAGGCCTGGGGGCCAGAGGGGGGCCCAAACCTGGGGAGAGGGCTGGTGGGGTGATGGGTTGTCCCCCCCC